AAATGATCTGATACAAACTCAGCTCAAGAACTAACAGTTCATGTGACCTCAGCACCTACAAGAAATTAAAGCAGTAATGCACAGTTTGCACATTGCCACTTGAAGTGGAAAATTTTATCCCATCATAGTCAGAACATACGTGCTGAGTTGAGAAGAGAAGCAACTTAATTTCTATGGTACTTCAGAGAAGTTAGAAGATGTTTTAGGAATCTACATATGAAAGTATGCATCCATCTAGTAACGTATATAATTCAGTTTGGTATTTTATACAGGTACTTTTGTATTAGAGTTTATCTTCAGGTAGATCTTAGACCTTGATTTTTCCATACTTACGTGAACTACAAAGCTTTTTAACTGAACTTGTGATGAAAGTAGTATTAATAGTATTTATCATTTGTTATGCATAGGTTTTTTTCCCCCCCACTAGAATTTAAGTTGTATGAGGGCAGGGAATTGTTTGATTTGCACACCATTGTATTCCCACTGCAGCTCTCAATATTATGCCAATGAATGGATAAGTAGGTGAGCCAAGGTAGGCTTTTAGGATTGTAAGCTCAAATCCTACTTTAGTAGAAATTTGGCCAATATCACCTTTTGCATATTGTGCTTTCTGCTGGATTTTAGTGATTAAAAAACAAAACAAAACAAAAAACCCAACACTAAACACTGGATTAAAGTCAGAAGACCTGCTTTTGAATCCCAGTCTCTCCATGTATGAGCTGTGTGATCTTTGGTTTCCTCCTCTATAAAACATAGATGATAATTAATGAGATAAAAATGGAAGGCATCTGGGCGCCTGGGTGGCTCAGTTGGTTAAGCGACTGCCTTCGGCTCAGGTCATGATCCCGGAGTCCCGGGATCGAGTCCCACATCGGGCTCCCGGCTCAGCGGGGAGCTTGTTTCTCCCTCTGACCTTCTCCCCTCTCATGCTGTTTCTCTCTCTCTCTCTCTCTCTCTCAAATAAATAAATAAAATCTTTAAAAAAAAAAAATAAATAAATAAAAAATGGAAGGCATCTGATATTCTAAGGTTAAGTTTCCGATTCTGATGCTTAACAAGGATGTGGTAGTACCGTTTATTAGTAACTGAGATTATAAATTATATTGTGATGATCATAGGTTATATAGAAAATGTATCATTTTATAAAAACTATATTTATAAAAATTATATAAGCAATTAGAAAAAGCCATAAATACATTTATATACCGTAGTATTGTTTTCTTTTAAAGCAAGATAAGCTTTACTAAGAATACACCCCCTAGATTTTGAACAAGAACATCTCATTCCAGTATATGCTGAAGTGTGACTTGTTTTCCTAAAAAACTGAAGCAAATCTTGCCTGTATTGAGAGCATAATATGGGGAAAGCAGTAGCTGGCCTACAGAGACCCAACTGGAATTCTAGTAGTCCTGGAGTGAAGATGCATTATATTGGAAGATTTTGTAGATCACAGATAATTTAATGACTGAGTTTTCATATATATATATTATTTACTGTGTATAGGAAGAGGGTGGTAACAGAAAAAGTTAGACTTTTAAAATAGTAACATTCTATAAATTGGAGTATTTCCCCAGAGAATGTAAAGCCTAGTGTCCTTCCAGTCAATGAAATTTAATTACTTCTTCGTCAACTGTAATGTAAATTTATATGTCTAATTCGGCTTGAATGTTGTGAGGGCTGGACGTATTCAGTATTAGAATACGTTGAGTACCTTAAGAAGCCAGTTATGACAAATTGGATTTCAATAAAGTAGTTTTCTCGCCATCTTAGAATATAAATATTTCATCTCTATTCACATGGCTCTGAGAGGGTTTTGCAATAGACAAAAATCTAAGAAGCTTATGGGAAAAGTGAAGAGTTTTCAATTTCATGTTTCAGTAATAAAAACACTAATATTTGTAAATCATCTGAACTATTGATCACAAATAGTGACAGGCACTTAACAGCCATCTCTAAAAGTCCAAATTTTATTTTAGGCAAAATATGGACTATATCAGCACTTAGAGTATTTCATGCAATGCTGCATTTATATGATTAACAATGTACATTATATCTCTTCTGCACAGCTCAATCTTCATAGAATTATTTTATACTAATGAATAGTAAAAGAAGGTATTTTTCTAAAATACAAAGAATGTTCAGATAGTAGCTTTGTGACTTTTTCACATGATTTAAGTACCATGGTAATTTTGTATTACCGAATTTTTTATAATTTTCAAACAGTATTATGTATAATATTAGGTTAGAGCATCTGTGTTTAAAAATAAATACTAAATAAAATGTGTACATATACTTGTTTATTTGTTTTACAAAGAAAAACAGCCACAAAAATTTCTCCTTCATTCTTGGCAAAAATACTCATTTCAGAGAATTCTATACTGTACAATAACATTTAAATTTTAAAATATAAAGAAATAATTTTTTCTTAATGCCTTAATTATAATGGTGTCACCAATAGTTTTATCTTTTTAAACTTCTTAAAGACTTACAAACATCCTAATTATCTTTGATTTTATTTCCCTTGGGCCCAACAAAATGTCTGACCTCCAAATTATATTTACTCGATTTTAAACAACATACTAAGAAAATGAAGGTATTGCATAATGTTTAAAAAAAAATAAAGCCTAAGTGGCATATGAAATGTAGGTGTATTTTTAAAATAGCAACAACATAGTTTTATAGTAATACATGGTCATCACAATAGTGAGGGACTGCAGCAAGTGGCTTCATTACAATACTTGCTTGCTCAGCCGCCAACTGCAGCTATGACTTTACTGGTGTGGTTTCTAAAAAGGTCAGACAGGAAGCATCAATCCGAGGACCACACAAGTAGACAAAGCTTCTCATATACATCTAGTCACTCATTTCAGCCAGAAAAGTAGGTATGTACTACTTATACAATTTTTCATTTTGAGGGGAGCATTAAGGTCACGGCTAATTTAAATATACATAATATATACTGTCATATATGTAACAGTATTATATACACATATACAGTAATATACAGTATATAATACACAGTATATTACAGTAATATATAATTACAGTAATACATACTAAATATAAAATAAATTATATTTAATTTCTCCACTAGTGTTTGTTGGGCATATTCATAATTACCACAAGTAGCAAGTTTAGATTTCCTTTTGTTTTACCAAACTAAGCAAACTGGAATTTCATCATTGGGCACAAAGCACTCTTTAAAAGACATAAAAAAATCCCTGTATATCCAAAAAAGAGAATCCTCTTTTGGTATCCAAACTCAAAATGAGAAAATGTTATGCAAAAACTTACCATTAGAACCTTATAAAATCATCTTTAGATTAAGTATTTCAGGAACAACATTATAAAATGCAAATTTTTTGTCATGTAGATGTCTTATGAATTTCTAGGGTTGTACATGTCCTGTACATACATTAAACAGCCATCTGAAAAGCACTCTTCATTTTGTTATTTGTATCCCTCAGTAATATATGTAACAATACACATTATAGAGATGAAATCTCTCAAAGTAACAATCAAATCTTACAATCTCATGTCATAGTAGCAGGTTCTATGTGAGCAATGTAAGTCCACCTTATTTTGGTTTGTAAAGGAAACCACTGAGTCAAATTTAATCTTTTTACTGTTCTAAAGAAGCATCTACAGGTTAATAAAATGTCTTGGCAAAATATGCCTGACATCTTTTAGGGGACAGTTTTGAGCTATTCCCAAATTAAAGTTCAGTGTCCCAGGACATTGTGTTTCAGCAAATGTTATCCTTAATGCCTGCCTTGTCTAAGTACAAATCAGCAACTAAAAATATTTACATCTTGGCTCAGTACATGGAACACACATTCCCCGTTCATTATCCAAATGATTGAGTGATCCAAAAATATTTCCTCATTCAAGTATCATTAGTGATCATGCAGGATCATTTTTAAGCAATTATACTTTAAAAGATGTTTAAACCAAACAAAAAAATAAAAATAATAAACCTAGATATTTCATTTTCTCTAGACTAACATCATCAAGTCCTTGAAGCCCTTGAATTTGAAAAACTTCTCAATACTTAAATACAGACCTGAGAGAAAAATGGTCCTTATTAATGTCCATTGTTTGTATCACTAGGTGCTTTGCTGATAGCAAAGGTATACTTTCCTGGAGGGTTAGTACAGCATAGTGGTTAAGAGTATGCACCCCAGAACCATACCTAAGTTTGAGTCCAGCCCAATCACTTACTGGCAGTGTGACTTGGGATAAATTACTTCACGTCTCTGGGCCACAGTTTTGTCATAATGTTGTGAGTATCAAATAAGTTACCACATATAAAGCACTTAGAACAATTTCTGGCATGTAGTATGCATTCAGTAAATGTTAGATATTATGTTATTCAGGGTTTTTTTTCATTCAAAACTTATATTAAAGAGATGTTCCACATCAAAGACTTCTAGCTGGCTGTTAATTCCTATTCTTATGTGTATTTAGTATACTCCCTGGTTTATGCATATATCTATATAATCTATATGATATACATATGTATGTATAAACCATATAATGAATATGATTATGTGTATGTGAATATATATGGGCACACATATGAAAAAGAGAGAATAAGAGAAACAAAAAAACATATTTGAGGGAAAATACGTAATAAAGTAAATGGAAAAAATCTTATCCTTAGGTCCAACTTTTCATGTTGGTAAAGAACACATTTACCCTTTCAAAGATCTCCACTTTTAAGTAGTTGATCGTTGGAGCTTGAGCGGTCTGTTTTTTGAGCTTGAGCTATTCGTTTTGCTGTTTCTGTTTGTTAAGTGTTTCCCTCAACATGTATTCTTCAAAATACATTTTGGGAAATAATCTTGTTAGGAAGCACAGTCTTCCTTAAAACTTGATACAGAATCAGTTCCATATAGTTTGGAGGTTTCTTGACTTCTAGACCAACATTTTGTAATGTAAGTTTTATGAGGTAGTCAATCAGTAACTTGCCAGAAAACAAAAGTCAGGGGCTTCTTTCCTTAAGCATAAGTCATCTTGCCAAGGTAGTTAGCTGGCACATATCCTTTCTGCCCCTGAGCTTCAGCTAACCACCACTCTTTATTGCCACTTAGGTCACAAAATCGGAGTATGTGGACTCTTTGGTATTCCTGAAGGCTGAGTTCATGGTCACTTCGTGCTTGAAAGGCATGAACTGCATAGAAAATCTAGACAAAGAAGCAAATGACATTATTGGAAGCAGAACTTAAATATTTAGACAAACATAATTAAGATATCCAAGCTTTTAGAAAGAATGCTGTTATCATTTTTTCAAAGTCACATTCCCCAGTTCTTTCTGTTGGATTTATTTTGCTAAAACATGACCCATATGAGAATACAGTTCAATAGGCATTCTTATTGTTCTGTGGGGAGGAGTCTAAACTGCCCATGCTTGAAGGCAATCTGGCAGTTTCTATTAAAAGATTATTTTTTATTTATGTTTTTTCCATAAGCTCCACACCGAATGTGGTGCCTGAACTCAAGACCCTGAGATCAAGAATTGCGTGCTCTACTGACTGAGCCAGCCAGGCGCCCTAAAAGACTTGAAAATTTTAATTTTTTATTTGTTTGTTTTTATTCAATAATAGGTCTTTAAGAATCTCTCCTTCAGGGGCTCCTGGGTGGCTCAGTCGTTAAGCGTCTGCCTTCGGCTCAGGTCATGATCCCAGGACCCTGGGATGGAGACCCACATCAGGCTCCCTGCTCAGCAGGGAGCCTGCTTCTCCCACTTCCCCCTGTTCTGCTCTCTCTCACTACCTCTCTATCAAATAAATAAAATCTTTAAAAAAGTCTCTCTTACAGAAATAGAAACATTCGCAGAATTTTACTTATTAATATTACCACACTATCCATTCACAAGGTGAAAAATGAGAGGGAAAAAGAATAACACTAAGTGTTCAGTAAGAGGAGAATAGTTAAATCTATTCTAGACCTTTATAGTAAGGAAATTTGTAGTCATTAAAAATGCTGTTTTTTGAGACTAATAGCATGGGCAAAAGCTTATGATGAAAGGGTAAGCCAAAAAAAAAAAAAAGATATCAAATCAGATGTACAATATAAGTCTAATAGTGTTAGTTTCTTTGAATGGTAGAATTAGAGATGATTTTCATTTTTACTTCTTATTTTTTAAACCTTTATAATGACAATACATTAAACTTATAATTTTTAAATTATTTTAAGTGGCCTAGAAGAAATTAATAAAACATGATTCAGTCAAAAGATTTTTTCTCTAACTTCAAAAGAATACTTCAGAATATTAGATGTGTAAGAAGCCCCTAAGTGTTTAGTCCCTCTTCCACTAAAATCGTTAAGACTGATAACAGAAATGTTTAGTTACAAAATTAAGCAATTGACTAACATTTTATTCATTTATTCATTTAATCAAAATTTATTAAGTACCTATCAAGTGCCAGATATTATATTTTCAAAGAACTTACAACCCAGCTAGGGAGAAAATGTGTCCCCAAAAGGTGTATACACACACACACACACACACACACACACACACACACACACACCAAAAAACACCCTACACACATAAGTGATATATGTGAGCTGGTTTTTGAAAGAGGTAACCTTGTGTAGGTGACAAAGTTGATAAAGGGGGTGGATATGTCATAGTCCAATGTACACAGAATGCAAACAGTATATGGGAAAGGCAAGCAGATTAACTTTCTCAAAATTGAGAGTCAATGTTAAAAGGAAATGATAAGAAATAAGATGGCTTCATTGAGCAAGAAAAGAAACTGGGGAATGTGGGGAGGGCACTATATAGTTAGTTTAAGTTGTTCTGTAGATGTTGAACTGTTATTTAACTTTAGATGAAATTTTGATATCACTGATTTTATATCATCTCAACAACTCTGGCATGAGCCCCACCTCAAAGAGGAGCATTTATGAGGTGCCCGGTTGACTTAGTCAATAGAACATGTGACTCTTGATCTCAGGGTTATGAGTTCAAGCCCCAGGTTAAGTGTAAAGCTTACCTGAAAAAAAAAGAGAAACATTTAAACTACTCTCCACTGACCACATGGTGGTACACAGTAGAAATTCAGATATATGTTAATTTGACTTAAAAGTTAGGCTGAAAGTCTTGGATATCACACAAGAACATACAAGAGATAACCTTGCATCATACAAGATACACACAAGACAGATTGTTGGGCATGGATTATTTTGTAATTTAAAAATTTAAGAGGAGGAGTGCCTGAGTGGCTCAGTCGGTTAAGCATCTGCCTTTGGCTCAAGTTATGATCTCAAGGTCCTGGGATCGAGCCCTGCATTGGGCTCTCTGCTTGACAGGAGTCGGCTTGAGGATTGTCTCTCTCTCCCTCTGCCCCTACCCCCCACTCATGTGTGCTCTTTCTCTCAAATAAATAAAATCTTTAAAATTTTTTTAAAAATAGGAAGAAAACAGAAAAGAAGGTGCTATAAATTCTTGAGCAATGGGGTGGGAGCATCTTTTCTACGCTCATGACAGTTTACATGTCCAATGTGCTTTATCCTCAACAACCCTGTGAGTTGTGACTTGGAAAAGTAACATGCTTTAGTCATATAGTTCATGCTGCTAGGACTATATCTTCTAACTCCAAATCCTGTGCTTGGTCCATTTCTCATACTACTTTAGGAAGCAAACTCTTGTTCTAGAAAGGATGTGCAGAGTATATTCTTGTGGAAAGGGACTGAGGTCTCTAATATGGTGCTGCTGATCTTTTTGTTGTTGATTAGAAAATGAAGACATTGATTAGACTCACAAGAGCAGAATGGAGGATTTGGTGGGCAAAAGCTTTCAGGAATACAATGCACCATAATACAGTTTCTGATTATCTGTAAGAGCCCATGTTAGCAGTTACTGGCCAACTTTTATAATTTTAATACACAACATATATGCATTGCCAACACAGCTATAGATTGTTTATTCTGTTGAATTATATATGATTCCTAAATATTTGTGGTGGTTTTTCACTTTGGCACATATTCTCTCAAAGGGAAATAAAATCTTCCACTTAAATCTATTTGGTATGAGGAGTGCTGGGGTGGCTCGGTTGGTTAAGAGAAATCTGACCCTTGATTTCGGCTCAGGTCATGACCTCAGCGTCATGGGATTGAGCTCCGTAGCTGGTTCCATGCTAAGCAGGGAATCTGCTGGAGGTTCTCTCTCTCCCTCTCCCTGCCCCTCCTCCAACTCATGCTCACTCTCCCCCGCCTCCCCGCCCCGGACAAATAAGTAAGTTAGTCTTTAAAAAATCTACTTGGTATGAAATTACAGCAGAGCATATATTTTAAACACTAAATATAAATTCTCATGAAATTGCAAATTTAAAGGAGAAAATTATATACTTTAAATACTTAAAGTGATCATGGTCCAAAATTAATGTAGGATGAGCATATTTCAGTTTTATATGTTTATGCCTCCCATTTAACATAAGATAGATACTCAAAATGGAACTAAGTCCACTTTTAAAGAGACAGCAGTTGATAACATTAGACCACAAGTTGGAAGTTTTCAGCCTGTTATACATAAAAGCTGAAGAATTTCTCATTTTTTGGAATATTTTAATTGTTCTAGGCGGTATCTTTCTGACTTTCAATGTTAATGTTTTGGTCCAGATACATTAATTAAATGTTATCAATTTAAGCCATAAACATCTGATCCTTCTCCCTTTTTCCTCAGCATTTATTAAAATATATTTTATTCATTGCTTCTTTGCACTCTGTAAAGCTCCGGCTCGTTTTATGTACAACAGTCCATGAATACAACCCAGTTCTCTATGGCATTAACTTTTTTTAAATAACGTTCTGTATTGTATTATTGACTCCTACTCAATTTATTACCCACTGTTTATAACCACCAGATCTCTCCCTGTAGTAACACTGGCAGTTCAGTATTCCCTTATTCTATATTTGTGCACTTAATTATTCCTCCCTTAGTGAGCCACACTAGCTGTCTTCACTGAATCTCATTTTATCGATTCCATCCCAGTTCTTCAATTAACAACAACAAAAATAATAATATATTTTAATCTTCCCTTCCAAAACTAAAAATTTAGCTACAAAACCTGTATTTACCATATTATATCATATGTAGTTTAGAAAGCCAAGATAGTTATATTGCATGAAAAATGCTCTTTCTTCTCTTCCTCCAGGAGCAAGCTTTCACGTGATTCAGTGATCAATTATGTATTGTTACAAGTAGTTTTTATAAAGAAATGATTTTAAATAAAGGTAAGAAGAAATCAGCCAACTGCCATTAATATCTTGCATTTCTTCCCTTTTTTCCTTCCTCCCTCCCTCCCTCCCTCCCTCCCTTCCTCCCTCTCTTCCTCCCTCCCTCCCTCCCTTCCTCCCTCTCTTCCTCCCTCTCTTCCTCCCTCCCTCCCTCCCTCCCTC